TACTGTGCCTGCTTCGAAAGTGCAAGGTCCTGAGTTCAATCCCTGGTACCAAAAAATAAATAAATAAATAAATAAATAAATAAATAAATGTTACCATGTAAGCCCAGAGAGAGAGAAGAGTGGAGAAATAGGAGGAGCTCAAAATAAAGCATAAAACCAGTGGTTTTCAGCTGTAATCTTTTTTTAACCTTAGTACCCAGTGAAAGCTTTCAGGTATGGTTTAATATGAGCTGAAGTCCCACAGCTTAAAAAAATTTTCTTTAAACCACAAGTATAGACATATAAGCCCAGTGTACAGATTGTAGAATTGTTAGAATATCTCAAAATCAGTGGGAAAAAACCTGACTTAAGTTATGGAAAACTAAAGTTTTTTTTTAATGAAACAGTGTCTTGCTATGTATTCCAGACTGGCCTTGAACTCACTATGTAGCCTAGGCTGGCCTCAAATTCATGGTAATCCTCCTGCCTTAGCTTCCTGAGTGCTGGAATTACAGGCATGTACCACCACACCCAGTCAGAAAACTAAAGAATTTAATACCAACTAAATGAGACAATAAAAGAAGATTGCAAACTTTTTTTGTTGTTTTTAAAATGACGTTTATTTCACAATCTAGAACTATAAATACTGGATGATGAGACTAAAAATAAATACTGAAATCTAAATATTAAACATAAATGCTTATTGTAAATAACAAGATGAGGCCAGTATTTAATATATGATAAAATGATGTAATGTTTTCTAAATCTGAGATGATTTATTTAAAGTTCCTCAAGGTAAGTTTCATAAATTCAGGATGTACCATGACATCATTGTTTGAGTAAAATTTAGCTAAAATAAGGGTGTAAAGATGATCTGCCATATCTAAAACTTGTCTGCGTTATTCAGTTGTTCCACTTTCTTGAGCACTTGTCAATAAATTTTCAAAATACATCTATAATAACTTCAAAAGAAAGTATGTTTAACTAAGCTTGCCTTCTGCTTTAAAAAAAAGATTTTGAAATCTGAGACCAACACGTTTTTCTAAATTACCATTTGAGGTTGAAAGTTTTTGTTTTTCTCCATGTTTGCACTAGAGCAGTCTAGAGGGTTCCCTTCAAATAAGAAAAAAAATTCTTAATAGTTTCAAATTTGAAGTTCAGTCTGTTCTTTTTTTCAGAAAATATTAAGTAGTGAAAATTGAAAACATTCTATTTTTTTTTTTCCTAGTTTGAGGAGAAACTGCTTTATGTGGCTTTACTGATACCTCATATACTTTGAGTTTAATAAGTTAGCTTTATCTGAGACGTTGCTATTTTTAGGTCCAGCTGTAATGTTTCTAACTTTGGTACTTGGAGTAGGGGGTGCTTCCTTTCCCAGAAGGCTCTGTATTCTCAACATGTTCAGGTCAGTTTGACATAAAGCTACCTACAAAGAGCAGCAGGCCCTTTGCAGGCTGTCTTTCTAATTTGAAAATTATGAGCAGGCATTGGGAGCCACAGGCTGTATTTGGGAACCAGCTACATGTCAGGACAAGCATGGATTGTGGTCCCTGGAGGCTGGGAGAGCACAATGCTTGAATTTAATTTCTTTGGAAGATAAGAAAAATACCTTTCTGCCTGACAAGATTGACAACTTATTAAATCTGACTATCTTCAGAAGTGTGCTGGACAGTTGTGAAGTAAATGGTCACTTTTCAAAGATGATGATCAAGGAAACATCTTTACGAAGGGACCCGGATTTAAGGGGAGAGTTAGCTTTCCTGGCAAGGGGCTGTGATTTTGTTCTCCCGTCACGGTTTAAGAAGCGGTTGAAGTCATTTCAGCAAACACAGGTTTGAAACTTGGGTGTTTGTTTAAAATATTCCATTACTAATAAAACCACACAGTGAACTAAAACTAACACAAATAATTTTATAGCTCACTTGTATTTTGATATAAGATCAAGGAGTTAATCTGTGTTCTCTGTTCAGCTATTTGCAGAAAGCTATTTGTAGAGGGATTCCAACAGCTTTAAAAATAGACCTCCTGGACCTGGAGTACAGTACTCACATTTTTTTTCTCTTGTACAGAGGGAATACAGTTTGAGAGAAAATAAATGCAACCCAACAAATATTTTATAAGTAAGCCAGAAAAATACTAGAATTTTTGAGAAATTAGAATTTCTGTCTTAAAAGCCTTATTTGCACTTTGAATCATTAGCCTGTTATTAACATATTTGTATCTATGGAATGTTTGTTTAAAAAAATATATTGATCCTGGTAATATTTTTAAAGGCCATGTTTTTATATGTAGACAGTTGTGTATGTGTAATACACACAATGAAGGATGGCAGTTTCTACTAAATTGTGAAAAAATGTCTTCCCTCAGCAAATTGAGATTTAATGATTTCTACCTGGGATGACTACTTTGCAGAGTCTACTTTCTTGGTTACAACCTTAGGACCAGTTTCTCACCTCACAAGTTGCATAATATTGAGTGTAATATAAACCAAAGGCTATACAAATGCTGAACATCCAAATTCCAGCAAGAAACCAGAGTTTCATAGTTATTCTGACCCAAAAGAATTTCAGATTATTTGGGTGAACCACGTGAAATTCTTTTCTCTTTCTCTCTCCCTCTTCTTATGTATTTATTTATTTAACTAAGGTACTTTACCCAGCTTATTCTTTTTTAATGCTACTCCCATCTTGGACTGAAACAGCTTTACTCAAAATGAGCAGGTGTTATACTTGCCAGTGAATCTGTAAAAATTTATATTACTAGGTTTTATTCTATAATGTTTATAAAGGATCAGTTTATTATACTACTTTAAGGTTCAAATTATATGTCTCTTATTGAACTCAGTGGAAAATAAATTGATATACCCCAAAGTTCAAAATAAATGGATTCGTTTTATATTATTTTTCTTTTAAATATCACCACCATCTTATTATAAATAGAATTAACCAGTGAATTAATATTTTCCTATCAGTGAGTTGCTGTATGTTGAGAAGTATACAAAGAAAAGCAGATAGTGTATAATGAAATGTTTTCCCATTCAGATAAAAGCTTTGACAGATAGCCTTTGTTATGAATGTCATTTAGCCTTTGTTCTGAAAGTCATTTACTTCTGTCAAAGCAAAAGCATAGAGTTAACATTGAAAGTCTTACTCTCAACCTTTCCCACTAGTGAGTGTGTGTCCCCACTGGCAGCAGTCCTAATTCTGTGGCCATAATTGCCCTGAAATTATCCATAACTGCCCTGATAGCATACCATGGAAAACATTTTGGGGAAACAAAGAATCTTGATGATTGTAAACTTGTATTCTCACAAACCCCTTTCTGCATTAAATAATGAAAAGGAAATGACAGTAATGTAACTGACCCAGGTAAAGCCTCTGAAGAAAGATCTATGTCTTATTAAAATTTCAAGAATACTTTGTACTGTTAACTGACTCATGGAACTATGTAATAATACTTTTGGAATTATCTTTAAAGCAGAAATAAATGTTTACTTAGAATAGACTGTCAATTTCTTAAAAGTGGTGTGAAATTTTAAATTGCTTTACAAATGGAAATGGTTACTGAATCTGAAGGATAGTCCCATGTTATATATAATTTAACCTTTTGAGAATCCACTACCCTTTGACTTCGTCACTCATTTTGTTTCCTGAGGACAGATCTGTGCCCACCACTGTTGAGAGCCTTTTACCTACATTATATTCTATAATTTCCTTAAATCCTCACAACAGTCTTCCAAGGAATTGAGATTATTACTGAAATTTTAAAAGATTAAGTAACTTTCTTAAGGTCACAGACTAATAAGCCATCATTGTTGCCTGTTAAGTTTTTTGTGTTTCACTGGTATCATTTCCTTCCCTCTGTGCTGTTTCTTTTTTGGCTATGGTTTTATATGGGATCATTGTTCAGACTTTAAGTATATGTTTAAAGTAATTTAAGGAAGAAAAACATCTGCATAATACTTTGTGTTCATAGTGAATTTAAAATAAGCCATTTCTATCTTTCATAGTTTATGTAGCATTGACACAGTGCTATGCTCATGAGCCTTGGTATATAACATAGAAATTAGAAGCCTGAAAATTTTCATGGATCTTTACTTTTTCTGTTAGGGATCTCAGAACTTAATTTAGTCCTCACTGGTAAAAAATAAGCTTCTACCTGAATGGTAGTACACCTCCTTTCCCTTTTTTCCTTAATCATGAGTAATGCAATCTCCCATCACCTTCCCACCCGCCTTTGACTGTCCTTTCTAATATTTCTTTATGATACATCACTCAAATATCTTTTGAAAAAAGGAAAAGTTATAACCTATAAATGAGCTAATTAACTATAAAGGGAGTTTGGTTGTGATAAAATTAATAGATACAGTCCTTGCCTCTTAAAGTATATCAGAAAAGGAAATAAATGTGTACCTGGGGAAAAGTGGCATGCTTCTAGTGTTAAGTAAATTAGCCAGAACTAAAAATGCTTTAGTTTTCATAACAAAGATTTTCTCTGAAGCTGCTAATTATTCCACCTGGACAAAGTTCAGCTAGAGAAGAAAATAAAAAGAGCTCCCTGCCCCAAATTTTATATCTATATATTTAAAAAGAACTTGTTTCTGCCATTTGAAGGAGAAGCAGAAATTCACAGAAAGGCAAGAACATTCTTCAAAAGGAATTTACTAATCCAGTTCCAAGAGACTAAGCCATATACCTCGAGACACCCACTGACCTCAACTGACCTTGTTCTTTGGTTATTTTGAAATGTCTGCCAAGTGATTAAAGGGAAAATATATTGCAAGATTTCTAAAATCTATGTAAACTCGAGTAGTGACAAATAATTAATATATTGATTTATTTAATATGAAAGCATTCCCTAGAAACATGCTTACTGACCTGTAGTAAAGTTAGCCCTTGATTTCTACTGTCTGAAGTTGTGGTTTCTTGTATTTATACATGACTTCCTATTACTGGTGAGGATGCTCAAGAAATATATACTGTTTAGAATTTTTGTGTCTTATAATCACATTTTTCTTCCAGATTCAAAATAAACCAGAAAAGAAACCTGAAATACCACTTCCATCTCCAGCCACCTTTTCAAGTAGTCCCCAACCTCATTCTCCTATTCCTGCTGTGAATAATGTTGTGAATCCACCATTATCCATAAACATTCCACGGTTCTACTTTCCTGAAGGACTCCCAGATACTTGCGGTAACCATGAACAGACTCTAAGCAAAATTGAAACTGCTTTTATGGATATTGAAGATCAGAAAGCAAACATTTGTGAAATAGGGAAGATCGCAAAGGTAACTTAACTACTAACTGATTAATAATCCCTATTTCTCTAGCAGTCCCATTATCCCCCTCTTCCCTGCCTCTTACTTTACTTTTAAGTATGCATAGAACTTTTTCCCATGTTGAAAAAAGTCATTTGATCCTGATACACCTCTAGCTATAATCACTCTTCATAGAATCTTAAGTTTGAATACAAATTTTACTGGTATTCTAGTCCAACCTCCTATTTAATATAGGAATCTCTTCTAAGACATCACTGTCTCATAAATACATTCCTTTCTTGAATGCTTTCAGGGACTAGAAGCTCATTTTCCATTCCTGGTAAGTCTGTTCTACAATATATAGCTTTGTTTATTAAAAACTGTTTCCTTATAATGAATAGGAGTCTCTTTTGTTCTGATTCATTGATTGTTATTCTGCCCTGAAGCCAGACAAGGAATTGTTGGGCCATCTCAGCATTGTCGTTTTACCCAGAAATAAATAGATGTGACAGTAGGAAGCAAGTCTTTGGCAATTTAGCATATATGCAGCTGCCTCTGATATAAGATTTTAGTGTCCTACTGTCAAGACTACTATAACTGGATTCTATACTTCCATCCTCCTCCCAGAACAACTAATACTGAACATAACTATCAGGTTATAGTTGATCATGCCATTCCTCAGCTCAGCAGTATTCAGGGATTCTCACCCAAGCTAGCAGTACTTTTTTGTTTGTTTGTTTGTAAAATCATATCATACCTGAGAATTTAGCAGTGGTTCCAAGTTGTGCTTCAGAAGAATTTAGTAGATAAAAGGCCACATGGAGGCAGATAAGAGATAAAGCAGTAGTGCCCAAGTCTGCACATTTGGAAGATTTCTCCTGCTTTCAGGAGTAACATTAAAAGTTTGAAATTTACTGTTTTTCAGGCTAAAACCAAAACTTCTCTTTTTGGCATTCCAGTATCAGAGATCCTTTCCATACCTGCCTGAAAGTTTTTCCTGAATGAGCCTGACCTCCTTGCCCACACAGGCATACCTCTGCATTTGTACTCTCCCAGCTCTCCCTTCCAAGATGAGTTTCCACTCCTATCAACCTCTACAACATCCACAGTAAAGACCTATCATCTACCCTGTCTTTTTGGAGAAGTCCCTACATTCCAGTCATGCTGATACTAAACCCAAGTCTGTTTTGCTTACTGCTCAAAAGCCAATACTCAGGAAATAAGAGTTGGTGAGAAGGAAATCAGTTTTATTCAAGGGCTGGTTCTGAGAAGATAAGGAGACTGCAATCCTCAAAATTCTTACCTTGGAGAACTCAAAGACATAAAGGGCTTTTTTGATGAGGGTAAGAGGGTAGTGGGAAAATGGACAAGAAGGCTGTGTTGAGTTGCACCTATAACAGTCTTTTATCATTCAGGGAATTTTTTTTCTCTTTAATCAGAATATTCTTGTAATTACAAATGACCTTTGTCTCCTGGGCCAGTCCCCGTAATCCTTTGGATAAATACATTATTTTCCTGAAAATTAAAATTATCCTTCTCTTAGAGAACAGAATTACTAAGTCTTTGGCCCATACTTGGTATTTGAAAACCATCAGGTGGTTCTGAAAAACTAAAGAATATTTCTGATTAAGAGGTCTGGGGACCAGTTTTTTTCCCCTCTTTGACTCCTTTTTTCCTGGAATAGTTGACTAATAACTAGTATCTCAGCCATTTAAGAAGGGTTTTTCTTCAGAAGTTACAATACTGGGCAGAGGCTAAAACAGAATAACTGTTCAAGGAGCAGTCTTGCAAAGTGCAGCTAATCTTGAATAAGGTGGTGTAAAACAAAATGGTGCAGCCATTCTGCTGTTACAACACCCTGCTCTCTCCCCTAACTCTGACCTCACAGAGCATTTGTGGTACTGTTGGATGTTTTTTAACTAGTGTGTTTTTAAAGGAACTGGAAAGGAGTATTTTCTTTGTTTACCTTTCCCATCTTAAAACTTGCTTGTTGATCCCTAGATGTTTCTAATAAAAAACAAACTTTCATTCTAGGAACAAGAACTTACCTATTGCCATTCTGTTTTACTTATGAAGAAAACTTATTTCCACAAGTATTTACCTGAAGTCATAGAACTAGTTCATATTAGGAGACAAATCCTCTAAGTTTTGGCGTGATGCTACTTCTGTGTATGTTTAGCTCTCTGAACATATACTGACATTAGCTAACTTCTAACCATTAGTCATCAAACTACAAGCATTCAGCATTTTCTTACCCAGTTCTTTGAGGTGGCTATTATATTAGATGACAGAACCAATACAGTAATTGTGCTGAATGGGCTGAAGCTATGGATATAAATCCAGAATTTAAAATTTAGCAAGAATGAATGAAATCTACATTTGGAGGTAAAGGGTTAAAACTCATGAAATGAGAAGATCTCTAAAATAAAAAGGTTTATTTTTACAGATGCTAGCCAAGGGGGAAAAAAAAAGACCAGGTCCTGGGACCAGTTTGAGCAACTACTAGCATGTGGGCTATGTATCAGTTGGAAAATGTCCGCCAGACCAGAGGTAAAAACATTTCTTATATACTTTGAAGAAAGAAAGCACTGTTACCTACATTGCTGTAGATAAGAGGGACAGGATAACAGGAAGCAGTGCAAGCTTTGGAATGAGAGGAAAAGTAATTGTTGCTTCTGGATTAGTTGGAGCTACAGTTGGGAAATTTTATTTGTAAACAGAACTCTCTTTTTCACCTCCCCTTTGTAATTAAATTTAGGACATCTCAAATTTTTTCTTTTATAACATGTTAACTGCATAATCCCAAATGAGAGATTTCTAGCATGGGAACAGTTTGTGTGAAAAAGTCAGGAGGTGTCATGAAATGCTTCAGGTAGGAAATGAGAAATTGCCCAGATTAAGGTGTAGTAGTTCCCCTGTGTGAAGCTGGGGGCCACTGTGTCTGGAGAGCCCATCCATGTGATTAGTGCCTCACTGTTACAGTCCTGCAACCTACCCTTCTTGAATAGAGGTCTGCTGGGTTAACCCTCTTCTCTCCAAATACTCCCCTTATGAGGACCCCTTTCTCCCTATGCCTCCGCATCTTCCTGATTCCCCACCCTACCCCCTACCCCAGTGTAATAGCCCTGCTGTGCTTCATGGGTCACTGGCTCACTATTACTCCATAGATTCAGTGAGAGGAAAGCAGAAAGCCTCAACTCCAGGGTAGTCAAGGAAGTGTGTAGGAAAGCACCTAGTCAAAGCAGGGAGGGGGGCTCTGTGAATGGTGAGAAGTCAGAAGGACTTTGCCAAGTTATATGTAGGTTGAAGTTGACAACATAAAAAGTTTTTGAAATAGAAAACTATTAAATGGATACACATTGAGGCGATACTCTTAAGTGAAATAAATAGGCCACACGTGTAAATACCGAATAGTTTCTCTAGTGTGAGAAACTGAAAGTGTAAATAAGGACTAAAAGGTATAATAGATAATGTGAAATAGGAAGAAAAGGGGCAAAGGGGAAGGGCAAGTGGGAAGGGTAGGGAAAAGGAAAGAAGGGAATGGAATTAATATGAGAAAAAGAAAAAATGGAAACAAAGTCTTTGTAAATAGGGAGGGATGGAGTGATTGAAGGGAGGGCAGGGGAAGGGAGAAAATATCAGAACCAAGAGAGATTATGTAAAGGTGCAAATTTCCAGTGATGAATGTCATTATATTGTATATCAAAAATATACCAATAAAATTTAAAAAAAAGAAAACTTATTTTGTTTAGCCAAGTAGTAGTCATTTACATAACACTTCACTGTTTAATACCTATTAATCATGTAGCACCGGTAGCCATTTTACATATATATGACTGATTAATTTATCTAAATTGTACTTGATTATAGCCCTAAATTTTATTCATGGGAGCCAAGCTTTGGTGTTCTGTACTTTTAGTCCTTAATTGTCAGGTAGGTAGCAAGGTAAACTGCTCATACCTTTAAAAAATTAAAACTAACTTTGCATATAAAAATGAGGAAGTAGTAGAAGTAGGGCCAGAGATTTAGCTCAGTGGTGCTGCTTCCTGCCTCGCAAGCACAAGGTCCTGAGTTCAATATCCGTACCAAAAAATAAAAGTAAATGATGACCTCAAAACTTAACATGAGTATGTCAGTTTGTGTTTTATTTTTGATTACTGAACCAGCTCATTTTATATTTTGCTTCTTTATTCTTAAAATTATTTAAAATTGATTCAATCATGTCTTCCCATTAGCCAATTTTTATTTAATCCAGCTTTTATTTGGTTATAACAGGCTCTTACCACTCATTGTTGTAAGGTCAGACCCAGACATGATTGAGACCACTGAGGGAGGCAAAGTCTGAGCAACATGCAATGAGTTTATTGCAATCTGGGTGCAGATGGGCCAAGGGCGAGAAGGCCATTGGCACTGAGAGGAGGGTGCTCGTGGTTGATATAAGGTATTTTAGGTAGGGGAGAGGGGCATTACTCAAGAGGGTGGAAAATTTTAGAGTCCCATGGGTGATGCCCTGGGGCTAGCTGATAAACGGCACTTGTGAGAATAGCAGGGCAGGGCGGCTGCTGGTTCTTGTTATCTCTGTGCTCCTGTGGATGTGGGTAGTGGGTCTGCTTGGGCAAGGGTCTGGCTTGGGGGCCTGTAAATTCTGTCACCCTTATTTTCAGTCATTCTTTATACTATGAATGGGTTTCTTTGGCCAGGAAACAGTGACCACTGCCTACAGCACATATTGCCCATATTCTTACAACACGTTGACTTAGGAAAGGCAGAAGAGAGGCACCCTTTAAAGGTCAGGGAATGAAACCATCAGAGCAATAAATGAATGTGTTTATGGATTCTTATAGTTTATAAAGCTCTTTGGAAGGCCAGCTTGAGTTTGCAATGTACTCTTAGTGGCATGTAAGTATAGCCATAAACACTGGGCTCTTTTTTAAGTGCAGAGCCAACTGTGTTTATGAAATCTGTATCTGTCAGTACAGTTTATCCCATTCATCTTAAACCTCAGACAGCCTTGGAAAGCTTTAATGCCCATGTCTGGTTCAGTTCTTAGTGTGTAGTTTGTACTTAATGGAGAAAAAAACAAATGGAGAATGAACCTAAGAAGGATGAAAATAGTGTAGAAACAGGATCTAAGTAACAAAAAAGCATTTGTCAGACACTGGGCAAGAAGATTCATCATAAAGTTTTATCCTCTAACAGAAAGTTGAAGAGAAAGAATAAAGCTCGGTTCTGAACCATGTAAAGCCCTTTATCACCTCTCTTCTGGCTAATGTAGCACCTGTAAGACAGCCTCTCTATACTTGAACTTCTTCCTCTGCAAAATAGAATAAAAATACCTTCCCTCTTCTGCATGGGGATTTTGTGAGGACTAAATGAAATAATGGGCACAAGACATTCTAAAATGGTGAAAAAACATTACAAATATTGGGTAATTATCTCCTGTGTGTATCAGCTGAAAACCTTGCTCTCCCGTTCCTGATGTTGCTGGGCTACCCTCTGATCAAATTACAGGTTTTAGTCAAAATTTCGTTGGCTCAAGTGACTTCATTTACCATATGCTGACTTTTGCCTCCTCCAAAACTGTTTCCCAAATTCATTTTCTGTATCTCCCTATATATTCTCCATTTTCTTCCTTTGTTTAAAAAAAAAAGACTTCACACTGGTTTGTTCTCACCTTTTGTTAATAAAAGTTCTATTTTGTTGCCTTCAGATTATTATCATTTCCTTTTTAGGTTCTCTTTGATCTCCTGGCTCCCCTTGTCTTAATTCTTTGATTTTACATAGATACAGGCCAGCCATACATTTTTTTAAATAGTCAAAGTTTAATGTCCTCAGCCCTTGCCCACCTTTTCCGTTTTCCCCTGTTGGCATTTTCTCCAAGGGCCTCCTATCCTTAAGCTGCCTAACACTTGGGTACTCAGGGTACCTCAGTATAAGAAAAGGCTGACATTTTCCAGTCTGTTCAAAATATTTTCCTTATGTATCTTACATCTTAGGGTTTTGCCTTTAGTCCATAATAAGTTCATACACAAGAGGCTGAAAATTGTTTAATAGGGAAATTGCCCCACAGTATGTGCTAAGCAGACAGACTCTGGGAGTGTTTCATCTGAGGCTGGTGACTTTTTCCCAATGTCAAGGTAGAAGACTTCTAATCCCTTCCAGTTCTAAAGAATTCATAAGCAGTTCTACTGGTGGAAGTTTCAGGCCCTTTGATAAGCCAGTTCTAGTCCTTCCCTGTACTGTTTGGGTTCCCCCACCTCCACAGTGTAGACTACTGTTTTAGCTTTTCCAGAAGTTGAAATAGCCGATCACTGCAGCTAAGAGCATTTCCTTGACAACCTATTCCACGTGAAAGGAGGGACTGGGATTAAGGAAGCTGAATTTTACACACACCCAAAGTATATGAATTGTGAGCTTTGTACTTTGGTGATTATAATTTATACAATAAACAAAATCAGGTGGTTGCTAAGCAATACCTTTCCCTCATTCTTGATCTCAGTGGAAATATTCAACCTCTGGACTTAAGAAATCTTAAATTTTCCTCTGCTGACAGAACATGCTTTCTTGGCCTTTGTGGCAGCAGCCTCTTTTTTCTGCCCTTTCCTTATGTCCCATGACTTGCATTTTCTTTCCATATCTTCATCTTTGGCATGAACCAACAGCAGCCTTGAGCAGTCTCTTGGGATAATTTAAGTCAGATGAGAGAGTCTTCAGGCTCCTCTGGGATCCTCTGTGCACTGAGACTTCATTGCAGGAGCAGTTCACCTAAACCTAAGGTGGATACACATCTAGTCCACCTCCAAAGGAGAATCTTCTGTAGAAGGACGATGATTCAACAGAGCCTAGATGTGACTCTTTAAAGAGTTCTAGATTTTGGAACATATTTTATGTGTATGTAAAAAATTAGGAAGATTTGGAGACTAATTCTCTTCTAATAGTTAAATATTTTTTTTAATTTTTTGAGATTTATTAAATGTAAATTACACCCAAGTCCTTAGATTTACAAGTGAAATATGAGTTCTTTTTTACTTGGAAACCAGATTATCTTAATGGGACTAATAATGCTATCACTAATTGAACTGTGGGACAAACCATGTGCTTAATAACTTCATGTTTCTTCTTATTCATACACTACTTGGATTTTTTTCACAGTTTTACAGTATCCACTAAAATCTCTTGAAGTCAAAGGGTAAATTCTTTTATCAAAATGACCTTGTTTTCCAGATAATGTAGCAATGTGGACCTCCATCCTTTGTGTCTTCTGAGTTTGCATCTGTATTTCAAGAGGTGCTTGTTTCCTCTTGGGAGTGGCCGGCAAGGTTTTGCTAGGGGCGAATGGTGGGGAACCGCTGTAGACGCTGTAGACTAAGGGGATCGGATCGTGTGGAATGCAGTGGGGCCACTGCTGCCACCGCCACCACCAGCACCACGAGAGGGGATTTCCTGTAGCACACACAGACCTGGTTGTTTCCTCATTGAGAAAAGTAATGCAATTCTTAAAAAGTGTGCTGCTGGAAGGCAGTTTTCTGCCATTGGTGACTCTCACTTGTCAAACATTTTCACTGCTGGACATTTGCTAGGTATGAAAAATAGCATGATCTAGAGCAGGAAGTAAGGAGAGCCTCAGGTTAGCCCATCCCCGGAAGGGTCATTCATCTCCCAAGTGTAGTTTAAAATTGTCACCTTTCTCTCAAATGCCAAAATATGTACGTATAATCGATTATGGCATATGTTATAGCTGTATTACAAATTGTATGTCATGTATGTTACACAGATAAACATCCCTCTGCTAGCAGATGCATTCTCTTCCTCCTCCCTGCTACTCTATTCCTGTTAGCTGCAGTAGGACCAACACACCCACCCAAATGTGTGCTGAATGAATGAATGAATGCATGCATGAAATCATATCCTCTGTAAAAGAGAGACATTAACTTCTAATTCATAAAGTATGGCTCATATTCATATTTTGGTCTTTGGTGCCTAAAGCTTTTTTTTTTTTTTTTTTTTTTGGTACCGGGGATCGAACTCGGGTCCTTGCGCTTGCAAAGCAGGCGGCGAACTAAAGCTTCTTAATAACTATAGCCAAAGTAGGAACTCTGCTTAACAGTCTATGTTCTCAGTTCAGCTGGACCAGGCCTGCGCTCCAGCTTTGGCAGTGAGCAGCTGACGGTGGTAACGAGGTTCTTGTACTCAGGCAGTAGGCTCGAGGTCTTCTTAGCTGGGCTGTCTGGTATCCTGTGAGTATTTGGTGTGAGAAAACCAGAACACAGGGAGAAAGACGGATGCTTCCGGTCACGTTGGTCACTTTGGGAGACAGCTCTGGAAGGGCGGGGCCTCTGGGCGACGCATGGACATGGCGACTCGGACTCGTGCGTGTGCTCGTGTGTGCGCGTGCACGCTGTCAGTCCTGACACGGTCGACGCCGCGAGCCTCTCCAGGGCATCTCGAACAAGCACATCCCGCCGTCCCAGTGCGGGAGGCAGGCGGGGGACACACGGACAGGCTAGTTAAATATTATTAATTATAGGAAATAGTTTTCCCTCAGGTAAATTTAGTAAGAACCCTTTCTTACAAGAGTAAGACAGCATTGAAAAGAAGATTCTTTTATTAAGGAGAGAAAAACGTCAATACCTTTTAGGGTATTTAAACTTTTTTTATATTCCCAGTTTTTACTAAGGCTTTTATAATATGTAGTTACTTGTGGTACCTTCTAATATATAAATGAAAGACTTTTAATACATAAATGATAGCATTTTTATTTTACTTTCATCACTTACTTGAATCATAACCATATAATAGATTTGCTAGCTGTTGTCTTGAATAGACTAGGGTTTTCTGGTCCTTGAACCTAGGATTTTATACTAGACAAAAGAGAGGAAGAGAATAGGTAGTAGTATTTTAATACCATATGGCTCAATAATAAAGATGACTGTATTTTTCTGCTCAAGGAATGAAGGGCATATACAACTATTATACTCAATCATTTCTTTTTTTTCCTAGAAGGTAGAAAATATACAATGTAAGAGTAGCAGAAAGGGAGACTGCTTTCTTTACTATCAGATCTGAGAGTATCACTATAAATGAACATGGGGAAAAGCTAAATGGTTTTCCATTTTCTTCACAAAATATGTGTGTAAACCTCTTACTTCCCATCTGTCAGTCCTCCTCCCTTCAATCTACCCTACATGTATTTGCCCCAACCCCAGTTGTATTCCCCCAAGGACTCTTCTGTCCACTGTGGCAAGAAGGGTAAAAGCCACAAAGACCTTTTCTTTGGCTGTGTCATGTCTTCATTGTCTCTTGGCCCACTGTTTTATTTTTTATTTGCAGATCTGTGGCTGTCCTCTCTATTGGAAAGCCCCCATGTTTAGGGCTGCAGGGGGTGAGAAGACAGGATTTGTGTCAGCACAATCATTCACTACTGTGTGGAGGAGGTAAGTATGTGAGCAGTCATTGTGGAGCTGGGGAAAAAATTGTGTGGTCGTCATGACATGCCTTATTAAGGTCACTTATTTTATTCATTTGCCTTTTATCCTCTTTTCAATAAGGAAAATTCAGTGATTCACAGGCATTTTTACCCACACAAAAGTTCTTTGCCATAAGCCTTTATCTTACATGTCTTTAAACAGTAAAATAGAGCTGCAGAAATACCTAATAGCTATTTGATAATTTCTTAGCTTCAGTAGTTAAATTGGAAACTCTGGATTTGAGTCTGGTAGCAGTGACATAAAAGTAAACATGAAAAATATAATTTTATTTTCATAAAATCCATCTTAGAATTATATCTAGTTAATTTGTTAAAATAGCTTAATTCTAATAGATTTTAATCATTATTTTTGAGAACTCCAGTTAAGGAACAAAGGTCTAGTATGTTTATCAAGATATTCTTAAATATTAGCTGTAATAAATTTTCCTGAATGCAAACCCAATTTACTCCCTTCTTTCTTTAAGTGTTATTTCCTTTTGGGGGTGGGGTACTAGGGATCAAACTCAGGACCTTGCACTTTTGAGGCAAGCAGCGGCACCACTGAGCTAAATCCCCAGCCCAGGCGTTATTTCTTAATATATTTATACATTTTATGAGAATATCAAAGTTTGTCCCCTTTTCGTCTTTTAACTAACTCCTGACTCCTCTTTCTGCATGTTCTTCTCACATTTTCTGGGATACATACCCTTTTTCCTAGTAAACTATTTGGAAATACTTTTCATTTATCATTATTATTTAAAATCAATGTATAATATTAGTAGAATTCAACTTAACAGATTCCATATAATTTCTTCATACCACCTAAAGGCCCTTCATTGCATAATGTTTGAGAAACGTAATAGGTGATTAGTAAATGCATTCTTGGTTTTAAAAATCTAGCATCTAGTGTAATTCAGCAAGTTCTTCATTATATTAGAACTAAAACAATCAGGCTATATATATATAACTTAGCACAGGAGAAAAGATGGCCATCTAGAGGGAACAACAAGGGTGAATATCTCCAAATTAGCACTGGAGAAAATCAGGTACCCTGAGGTGGGAGTGAAAGATGAGGTCTGATAAAGGAGGATAAATGAAAAGAGACTCCAACTGGACCAAAATCCACTGCTTAGGGAATGTGGGAGAGGAAACCAAACCACACCTGGATCGTGGTACCACACCCCCAACCCCAGACCTGGCATACATACCACCTTGGGAGATCCAATTGAGGGAGGGAGCTAGCCCTTCAGTGATGACCTAGCTAATGGAATAGGCTCACAATCACTCTAATCTCCCTACTAGGCATGGTGAGTGAGATACATGCAAGCTGGGGATTCAAAGAAGCTGAAAGCAGAACGGGGCAAGACAAAATGTGTCCTGAAGACAATAGTGCTAGAGGACCTGCTAGTGCCAAGACTATGGGGAGAGAGGCTTGCCCAACAGGAAAAAACAAGTTACTGGTTCTCCCCTCGTACAGTGGGAGTGCTGTGCTTGTGGAACATTCAGCATACTACTCTCAGTTGCTGGAAGGTTCTTCCATGGACTCAGAGGGACCTCCTAGATGGGGACTACAGGGAGACCTGGAACTGGAACAAGTACGTGGAGTAGTGAGTGTAGTATAGGAGATCTGTGAAAGGAAAGACAGACACTGGTACTCAAGTCAAAAGGCAATTCATAAGAGCCAGAATAGAGTGGGTACTCTCCTTACACTACCCCAAACACTGGAAGGGCCTAAGACAATTTGAGATCCTGACCCCACCCCATGCTGGCAAAGGGGGCCCTCTGCCAAGTCTAGGGGCAGCCCTAGGTTTTGTGGGCAGGTCTGAGACACAGGACTGTGGACAGAAAGATGGAGAACAATGCCTGAGGTCTTCTGGCCACATACTAGGCAAGGAAAGGCTGGGGAGGAGAAAGCCTATGGAGAGAGGACACAGAGATTACCATATTCGCCAGGCAGTGAAAGAAGCAAAAGAATGTGAGAATTCTCTGGTAGAAGCTGAGAGAAAACCTGAGAACTGGGAGTAGAGCAACCTATACCACATTTGCTTCCTCCATACCCAGAGCACAGCTTGCAACCAGGACACTGGTCCAGAGGGAACAACAGCCCTGACTGCTTTGGACAGGCAGTTGCCTGGTTGGTCCACAGTGGGAAACTGCTTGGCTGCACACAGAGTGTGACTTCTGTGTAGAGGGAACTGTGTGGACACGGACAGTCTGGATTAATGCTGTAACAACTGTATGACAGTTTGTTTTGGTTTTTTTGGTTTGTTAATTGATGTTATTGTTTCCTTGCTTGTTTGTTTGACCTGGGTTATAGTATCTTTTTTTGTTGTTTTGATTTGTTATCATTTTTTTCTTCTGGTTTTTTGCAGCTTTGTTAATATTATTGTTACTTTATTCTTTAAGGTTTTTCTCCTTTGATCTGCTCCCTCTTTTAGTCTTCTATTTTTTTTTTTTTACTTTCTTTTCTCCCTATTCTTTTTCCTCTTTTCTTTCTCATTTTCTCACCTCCCTGCCTTCTTTCTCTTCCCCACCTATCTAATGGCATGTATATGGGGGTGGGAGAGACCACCAAAAAATATATACACACTTCAGCAGTTCACTGTATTAATAAATGTCTGGAAGCTAATGACCAATGCTTTGAGCACCTCTTGTAATTGTAGAGGCCAAAGGTAACTTGTATTAATCTCATGATGTCTCAAATTTAGTATTAAAATATTTATACAAGTTTTTCTTTTCTTGATGAATACATTTTTTGGCAGACTCTGTATATATAAAACGGGCCTAAAGTGGCATTAGAAAATAAGAATTAATCAGTGCTGCAACTTTAACAGTACCATTCAAGGGCATGTCAGGGTAATCCTTAACAAAATTGAGGTTAGAGGATCCAAACAAAACTACAAATAGATTAACAGGTTCTGACAGTCTTACAGCCTCCCTCAAAATACACTTCCACCTATCTGCATACCTTCTCCCTCCTACACAAATACTTTGTCAAACTCCCCTCAGCTACCCTTTACCACAACTATGAAAATAATTCCAACACTGCCTTGCAAGCTCAAGGTCCCAAGTTTGATCCCCAGTACCAAAACAAAAAAAGTAATAATTCCAACAGAGTCCAACCTTCTATTTTTCACCTGTGGACATTTCTCTTACTTCTGTCTTTTCCCACTGATACAGCCCCTCAATTTTCCCCTTCCTGTTTTCTCCCCCCACCCATATCCAAGACAAACCACAATAAGCACTATAATACAGTGTAAAGGATATTAATAAAAGGGTGAAATTATCAAAACAAGTTTTAATGTTGATGATTGATGTGTGCCTGGATCTACTGACACTGTTATAACCAGTAGAAATTCTCTCCTTATAACACAGTGATGAGGTCCAGCCCAATTAAATTGAATAGGCTGAAGTGGTAAATAATACCTCTTGACAGTAAAGATAAGAACACATCACTGGGAAACAGACCCTAATTAAAGAGATCTTCATATCATCAACAAACTCTCTTCACTCTATTTGACCTGAGCCCTCAGCTAAAAAAATCAAGGCAACAAAATGCCTCCCAAGACTCACAACTCTTCCCAAAGCAGATCCAAGGAGCTCCAGTGGAAGAGAAATCAAACACCATGGGGCTGAGCTGCATAAAATTATTAAAGAGCAATCAAAGAAACTCAGCTCAAAAAAGATACAGCCCAACAATAGTAGAACTAACAAGCAAGCTGACCACTGTAGTTATGGAAGAAACATAAAAATTAGAAGAGCTGACCAAAACTGTTCAAAACATGAATGACACATTTACCAAAGAACTAAACTTCAAGAAAAGGTGCCAAACAGAAATCATAGAGATAAAGAATTCTATTGAGTACATTAAGCAGGGGATGGTGATACATCCCTATAAAATTCCAGCACTCAAGAGGCTGAGGCAGGAGGATCACTGCAACTTCAAGGCCGGCCTGGGCTACATAGCAAAACCTTGTCTCAAAAAAAAAAGAGAGAGAGGAAAAAAAACACTGAATTCCAAAAGTTTCAGACAAGGTATAAATAAGACCAATATTCCACAAACTCTTTGATGAAATTGAAAGGGAAGGAAGATTTCCAAACTGATTCCTGAAAGCTTGCATTACCTTGATTCCAAAACCAGATAAGGACCCAACTGAAAAAAAATGGATAGGCCAAATCTCTTTAATGAACATAGATATAAAAAATCCTCAACAAAATACTAGCATACAATACAGTAAATCATCAAAAAAACATACATCATGACCAAGTAGGCTTCATCTAAAGGATGCAAGGATGGTTCAACATATATAAATTAATAAATGTAATGCACCACATTAAACAGAAGCAGGGACAACTCACATGGTCATCTCAATAGATGCAAAAAAAAGCCTTTGACAAAATCCAGCATCTATTTGTGATTAAAAACACTGAAGAAAATAGGTAGAGAAGGACCTTATTTCAACCTGATAAAACCCACTTAAGACAATCCTACTGCCAAGTCATATTAAATGGGGATAAGCTGAGAGCTTCTGTAAAATCAGAAACAAGAAAATCCTGTTTAATATAATACTTGAACCATTACCCAGGGCAATCAGGCAAGATAAAGAAATAAAAAGGATACTTATAGGAAAGAAAGAAGTCACATTACCATAATTTGCATATGACATGATCCTTTACATAGAAAACCTAAAAAATTCCACCAAAAGACTCCTAGACTAACCAAATTGAGCAGTGTAGCAGGATACAAAATTACACAAAAAATTGGTAGCATTGCTGTACACCAATAATGAACCCACCATGAAAGAAATTAGGAAAACAATAGCATCAAGACAAATACTTAGGTGGGCCAGGGATTTAGCTCAGTGGTTCTTCCACCTGCCCCACAAGCACAAGGACCCAAGTTTGATCCCCGGTACCAGAAAAAAAAAAACAAAGAAAGAAAAATACTTAGGAATTATCCTAACCAAA